TCTCCTCCCAAATTCACCTCACCTGAGCCCTGGGCCAGAGAGGCTAACCTCTTATCTCTCCTTCCAGCCCCTTCCCCAAGCCTCTGGAGGAATGATCCTCCCCCCTCTGGCCTTTCCAAGTTGGGTCCTGCCTACTCTCCACGGCTCATGGGCTGGCAGAATTGGCAGAGCCATCAGGAGCTCTCTAGGGCCTCCCTACTAGGCATAGGTCTGGACCAGCAGCTTTGGCCTCTCCTAGGAGCTTGTTAGAAGTGCAGAATCTCACGTTGTACCTGGGACCCACTGAGTCAGGATGTGCATTGTGACAAGATCCCCAGGTAATCTGTATGCATAGCAAAGTTTGAAAAGCATCGTTTTAGTCTAGTTCACCACTGCCCCCAACACCTGCCATTGGATAGATGAGGACACAGCAGCCCTGAGAGCATCAGGGGCTTGTTCAGGACACATGGTGAGCCAACATCTTAGCTGGAATGGATCCACAGCCCTGGCTGGGCTGGTTCCACCCCACCCATACCCTCTTTTCCTCCGCTGCCTTTCCAAAGCAGATACCTGCAAACCTGTAGTCCAGGCTGGGAGAGATGCAGGCACAGAGTGGGGACACCCGTGAGGAGCAGGGGTTTACAGAGTCCTTGCACAGGGGCCGCCTGTGTCACTCATTTCTGCCCCCCCCCAACCCCCAGAGTCCCTGGTCTTACCATGCCAAGCTGTGGCCACCAGCAGGACCAGCAGAGCCCTTGGGCCCATGGCCTCAGTGGGGAGGCAGCAGGATGATGCAGGGCAGAGGGGTGGGCAAGGCCCTGGAGTCTCAGCGCTAGCTCCGTAGTGACCAGGACCACTGGGCATACGTTCCTCTCTGCTGTACTGGCTGTTTCTCTTGTTTTCCTCTTCCTCCTCCTCCTCCTTGGGCTGATCCCCTTCTTCCCCTTTTAGCTAGGCAAGGCAACCACAGAGTTTGGAAATCTTGGGTCTTTAGAAGAAAACAAAGCCATGACCCCCAGGGGGAGGGGTTGGAGTCTAGGACAGGGCCAGTCTGAGCCTGGGGGAGCTGGCTAAGTTTAGGGCCCTTCTGAAACCACCTCCCAAGGATCCTGGCAGAAGAGACATGCCCAAGGTCAAGCAGACAGTCAGTAGCACAAAGGGAGGGGTCTCCAGAGTGGCCAGACAGCTCTGGCTTAGCCAGAAGGAAAGTTAGGTTGGTCTGGGAGAGCTTCATGATAGAAGCAAGAAACTTCTATTTACAGGACACTCCCCAGCTGAGCCCTTTACATTCACTGATTCCTCTGGTTCCTGTAGAACCTTTATGTGATGGGTACTATTGCCATTCCCATTTTGCAAATGGAAAGACTGAGGCTCGGAGAGATCAAGCATCTTAAACTTCTCCATAGTTACATGGCTACCAGATGGCAGAGGTGGGATTTTGATCTAGGCAGCCTGGTTGTAGAACTCCCTTTACGTTGCTTAATTATTTGTTTGTTTATTTTTTTTTTTTTTAAATTTTTTTTTTTTTTTTTTTTTTTTTTTTTTTTTTTTTTTTCAACGTTTATTTATTTTTGCGACAGAGAGAGACAGAGCATGAACGGGGGAGGGGCAGAGAGAGAGGGAGACACAGAATCGGAAACAGGCTCCAGGCTCTGAGCCATCAGCCCAGAGCCCGACGCGGGGCTCGAACTCCCGGACCGCGAGATCGTGACCTGGCTGAAGTCGGACGCTTAACCGACTGCGCCACCCAGGCGCCCCTGTTTGTTTATTTTTACAAAGAGTCAAATTGTGTTGCTATATTTCTTCAGAAAAATAGCATTCCTCTGCCCCTTTCTTTCCTGGAGTCAGTTGTTTTTACTCCTTTTAATTGATTCCTGTAGTATTTTCCTTCTTATTTCTAAGTAACATGGTTCTAGAGTTAATTCTTGAAAGTAAAAAAATTCCAATACAACATTGATCCAGGAAAGTGATCATTCTTTCCATGTACTCAGGTATATGTAATATATTTCATATATACTTTTTTTTTTTTTCCAAGAAAGTGTTCTGAACCTCAAGTAGTCATGAATACTAAACAAAACTGACTCAAGAAGAAATAGAAAATCTGAATAGACTTATAACTAGCAAAGAGAGTAAATCTGTAAACAAAAACCCCCAACAAAGAAAAACCCTCGATTAGATGGATTCACTGGTGAATTCTACAAAATATTTAAAGAATTAACCCCAATTCTTCTCAAATTCATTCACAAAATAGAAGAGGAAGGAACACTTCTCAACTCATTCATTGAGGACCTTTATACTAAAGCCAGACAAAGACATCACAAGAAAAAAAAAAACTACAGACCCATATCTCTGATGAATACAGATGCAAACATCTTCAGCAAAATACTAGGAAACCAAATATAATAGCACGTTAAAGTGGGATCCCAGAAATACAAAGATGGTTCAACACGTGAAAATCGATCTGATACACTACCTTGATAGAGTAAACACAACCCACATTATCATCCCAATTGATGCAGAAGAAAACCTTTGACAAAATTTATGTTAAAAAACACACACACACACACAAAACTAGGAACATAAGGCAACATCTTTAACATGGTTAATTAAAACCATGGATGAAAAACTCGCAGCTAACTCAATGGTGAAAGATTGAAAACTTCTCCCTTTAAATCAGGAACAAGGCAAGGATACCACTTTCACTGCTTCCATTTAACACTGTACTGGATGTTCTAGGCAGAGCAATCACAAGGAAAAATAAATATCCAAATTCAAAAGGAAGAAGTATTTGACATAATCCTATGTATTGAAAAAGCCTAATGAGTCTATAAGAAAAACCCTATGTATAGAAAATACATAATCCTATGCATAGAAAAATCCTAAAGAATCTACAAGAAAAAAAAAAACCCTCTTAGAGCTAATACATTCAGCAAAGTTGCAGGGTACAAGATCAACACCCAAAACTCAGTCGTATTTCTATACACTGACCGTGAGCAATCTAAAAAAGAAGTTTAAAAAACAATTGTATCTGGAATAACACCAAAATGAATAAAAATACTTGAGAATAACTTTAGCCAAAAAGATGCAAGACATATACCCTGAAAACCACAAAACACTGCTGAAAGAAATAAACAAGACTAAACAAATGGAAAGACATCCCGTGTTCATGAATTGGAATATTTAATATTCCAGTGGCAACACTCCCCTGAGCGATCTGTAAATTCAATGCAGTCCCTATTGAAAGCCCAGTGGCTATTTTTTCAGAAACGGAAAAGCTGATTCTCAAATTCTTGTGGAATTTCAAGGGACTCCAAGTAGATAAAACAATATTAAAAAAGAACAAAGCTGGAGGAGTCACACTTCCCAGTTTCAAAACTTACTACAAAGCTACAGATATCAAAACAGTGCAGTATCGACACAAGGAGAGGCATATAGGTCAACAGAATAACGTTGAAAGTCCAGAAATAAACCTTTACATCTATGGTTAATTGATTTTCAACAAGGGTGCCCCGGCCATTAATGTGGAAAAGACAGTCTTTTCAACAGATTGTGTCAAGAGAACTGGATATCCACATACAAAGGAATGGAGTTAGACCCTTCGCACCCTATAGAAAAATCATAAAGGATCAAAGATTTAAATACAAAAGCTAAAGCTATGAAACTCTTAGAAGAAAACCTAGGGGTAAACATGCATGACCTGAACATGGAAATGGTTTCTTAGATATGTCAGATGTGCAAGCAACCAAAGAAAAATTCAGTAAGTTGGGCTTCAGCAAAATGAAACATTCTGGTCATCCAAGGGCATTATCAAGAGAACAAATGAGGCGCCTGGGCGGCTCACTCAGTTGAGCGTCCGACTTCGGCTCAGGTCATGATCTCACGGCTCGTGAGTTCAGGCTCCGCATCGGGCTCTGGGCTGACAGCTCAGAGCCTGGGGCCTGCTTCGGATTCTGTCTCCCTCTCTCTCTCTCTGCCCCTCCCCCACTCACACTCTGTCTCTCTCTGCCTCTCAAAAAAATAAAGAAAACTAATTAAAAAAATTTTAAGAGAATAAAAAGACAACACACAGATTGGGAGAAAATATTTGCAAATTATATATATGTTATCATATATGTTATTACATATTGTATATACAATATGTATATTGTATATTGTATATTGTAATTGTATATTGTATATACAATATGTGTATACAATATGTATATACATATTATATATATGTTATCATATATCACATATAACATATATATATGTTATATATATATATAATTCCAGAATATATATATGTATGTCTTCTAACTCATCAACAAAAAGGCAAACAACTCCATTAAAAGTGAGCAAAAACGTTGAGTAGATATTTCTTCAAAAAAGACCTACAAAGGACCAACAAGCACATGAAAAGATGCTCAACGTCATTAGTCATGAGGGAAATGCAAATCAAAACTGCAGTGAGATAGCACCTCACACCAACCAGGTTGTCCATAATTTAAAAATCAGAAAATAACAAATGGACAATGGGGAAAAACGTGAGCCCTTGCACGTTGCCGGTGAGAATGCAAAATGGTGCAGCTGCTTGTGGCAATGGTTTGATAATTCCTCAAGAAGTTCCACAGAATTACCTACCATATGAGCCAGCAACCCTAGTCCTAGATGGATCCAGAAGAATGAAAAACAGGTACTGGAACAAATACTTGCACACGAATGTTTAATGCAGCACTATTCGTAATAACTAAAAGGTGGAAACAGTTGATTCATAGGTAGACAAAAATGAGGCACAGCCATACAACGGAGGGTTATCCAGCCATAAAAAGAGAATGAAGCGCTGATACGTGTCACAACACGAATGCATCTCCAAACGCTATGCTCAGCGAAGAAAGCCAGACGCAAAATCGCTATTGCATGACTACATTTAGATGGAACATCCAGAATACCTAAATCCACAGAGGCAGAACGCTGACTGGTGGTTGCCAGGAGCTGGAGGCAGGGGGAACAGGGAGTGACTGCTCGATGGGCACAGCATTTGCTTTCAGGGTGATGAGAATGTCTTAGAACTAGATAGAGGAGATGGCTGCCCAACATTGTGAGGGTATGAGACGTCACTGGATTGTACCCTGAAATAGTCGATGTTTAAGTTATGTGAATTTCACCTCAATTTAAAACAAAAGAGGAAGAAGAAGAAAGAATGCAGACTTTCTTAGAAAAGCAAAAACGGAATTCATTGCCGGGAGACCGCGCTGCAAAAGAAGAAAATGTTGAGGGAAGCTCTTCGGGCTACAAGAATACGATACCAAACAGAGCTTAGCTACGCACACAAAAATAAAGAGTGCTGGAGATGAAAAAAATAAAGGTAAATATAAAGAATACTTTAATCTTACTTTTAATTGCTTGAAAGATAACAGACTGTCTAAAGCAGACATGGGCAAAATTTTTTGTAAAGAACCAGATGGCCTATATTTTAGGTTCTGTGGGCCATAAGGGTTGTGTGACAACTGCTTAAGGCTGCCATTGTCACGCAGAAGCAGCCACAGCCAACACCTGCTACGCTGTTGAGTGTAGCTGTGTTCCAATGATACCTTATTTACAAAAAGAAGTGGCGGGGGGTGCCTGGGTGGCGCAGTCGGTTAAGCGTCCGACTTCAGCCAGGTCACGATCTCGCGGTCCGTGAGTTCGAGCCCCGCGTCAGGCTCTGGGCTGATGGCTCAGAGCCTGGAGCCTGTTTCCTATTCTGTGTCTCCCTCTCTCTCTGCCCCTCCCCTGTTCATGCT